ATGTAGTTCGCATCTTTGTTCTTTGTTTTTATATAAAGTTTTAATCCACCATTTTCTACATAAGGAAATGTCTGTACCAAGTCAGGAATATGACAGTTGTTTTCCATTCGTTTGATGTGTTTGAGCTTTTGATTTTGCCATTTGATAAGGGACTTTCCGTTTTGAATTTTCCTTGGAGTTCGGGATTTTTGTTATTTTACTTTTCACATATTTGTCCTTTTGTTTTTTTATATAGTTGTCTCATTGGCAATCTTTTCCTCATCTTAATTTATATCAACAATATAATCATCATCCACGGTTTTTGGTTGAGGTCGTGTTGCTCTGTATAGTTCTTTGTCTTTTTGTGGTTTTCATTTTTAGCCATAGTTCTGTCGGTCTCCTGCGAATTATGAATCATAATTGTCCCTTTGATGTCCTCCGCCTCTTTTTATACGATGTTGTTCTAATAATTTAGAATTTTTAATGGTTGACGCTGAGAAGTGATTTAGTCACGCTGAATTGCGATGGTAGCATTGTGACGCTTTCTTGTTGATAGCTGTGCCGAAGTGCGATTGTGGTATTGCTGAAGTGCGATGGACTACACAAACTATATTTTCAATGCTTTTCGTGTCGATGTAGACGTTAAATTAAATGTTTGTAAGAAGCAGTTTTTCTGGTTTTAAAGTTAAAAAATGGCTTATACACTTTTAATACTACGGTTTTTAACGTACGATGGAGCGTGGCATTCTCTAAATACATACGGGTCCACAAACGACCTCTTATTTTAATATAACGGTAAACGACAATATCATGAGAGGAACAAAGTGAAGATAAATGTTAACGCAGAATTGTGTCTACATATTGAAAATCAAGAGGACGATATATCATTAAGAATAAAATTATAACTAATGACATACATAGACAATAATGAATGCAAATTTCTATACTAACTATGAAACAAATACACTGCTCATAATAATTGCACATCTGTAGATTTTAAACTAGCTGTCACACGTCATATAGACCATCGCACATCAGCAAACAGTCCATCTCACTTCGGCGAAGACCATCGTACTTCAGCGTGACCATCGCACTGCAGCGTGACCATTGCACTTCAGCGTCCCCATCGCACCTCCGAGTCCTACAAATGTATTACCAAAACATCCCTATGTTTTTTTCGCTCATAAGGTCAAAATCAGAGATAATTTGACACCTACTCGAATTTGAATATTCAAAATTCTAGAAGATTAATTGTAATACAATCAATATTGCAAATCAGATATGAAAACAAAACACATAATACAATAAGATTAATTTAAAAAATACTTTGTAAAATACATTTATTTCAATTGTAGTGTTTGACTCTATGGGAAAGCTACGAGAAGGTGTGATGCACGGTCAGTTGAATTTGGTTGGTTCATTTGATGAATGCATGGATATACAAGCACAAATAAAGGCAGGACAAAAATTAGGAAATAGGACAAAAGAGACAGCATCATCCTTCGGAACTCGGTATTGCAGAGTATCAATGGATATTCCCTCCAATGTCCTTCCCATTGTAAGTATCATTGTCAATCACCTGTATTTTTGATTTTCATTTGGTACGTTTTCAGGGGATTGTTAGTTTTCATCTTCCTGTTATTTACACTGATCTGCTTTCTGTCATCGTAAACATGGAATTTTGTCATGTGCTATTTATTTTCATTAGACAGGTATCGTTGTTGGTGGACTGTGAATAACCAAGGGTACCATCTGTCTAGAAGCCAGTGCTTCGGTACTGGCATGATCTGAATGCCACATTTCATTTTCTGTTCTTTTCCAATTCTGAATACAAAAATTTGAAAAGAAACAAGTCAATTAAGAAATTTTACGAAATTATTTAATCGTCATGGTTTCCTAATGGTCACTCGACACATGAGACAAAATATTATTGTATTTTCTGAACTTGGTTATAAGGGCTTTTAAAATCGCGTACGATAACTTAAAGATTAAATATAAGTTCCTAATTTTGTCGCTAATCCTTTACCCCATCAGAATTGACAGTATAAGAGTAAATGATTTTGTTGTATTGATGACATTTTGATTTTAAAGCTCTCAAACGATCTATCTGCTTAGCTTACAATATGGTTGGTCTCGAGCATTGCCGGGTGAAGGTTATTCGTTGTGTGCAAGGAAATCATACACATTTTACACAAAATTAAACAAAGCACTAGACTAAAAATTTCAATGACTACTAAAGTGACTATATAAAAAAAATATCTGGAATAATAAATCCAGACCAAAATACGAGCCATAACGTAAAACATTAAAATAGTGGCATAACAGATTGAAAATATGATCAAAATGAGACAACATCTCGGCTGAAAGAAAAAAAGACGAAAATACAAACAATAATCGACAAATCAATACATAGAAGCTTAAGATTATGCACATGTAACTATCTTTTTTTTCTTATTATTTACAGGACACCAAAGGCGTTCCAGTTCATTTGACCTGGGGAGCGTGTGTACCAGATAGTTGTCATTCTCGCGATATTTCTGGATTGTTCAAACTAGGTAAACGAATTTTATTATTTAAAAATATTTTGCTTTCATAATATTTCATATAGTAATATTTCCACTTCAATTTAATATTTAGAAAATGTTATATACATATGCAAAATACTGATAATAGTGCGATTCGTAAAAACTAAGTATTCATCGAAGACATGACTCTTCTGGGCACTTGAACTTTTATATTCGACGCCTCATGAATATGTATTGCCACATTGTTTAAAAGTACATTAGCATTGCAAATTCGGAATTACTAATACAAAAATGTGAATACCACACAATTTCAAGAAAAAAGCAGTCAACGACCGGTTTTCTTGTCACCATTTAATTACAGTATACTAATAAGTACAATGAGATGCGGAGAAAATGTCAATGAGACAGCAACTAAACGCCAAAAATACACAAACACGAAAGGCATCCAGACGTGAATATGCAGTAATCAACAATATACAGGCCACCGATGTTTATACAAAATGTCATGCCCTAAATCGACCTAAGTGTTAGTTTATCTTAAATCTTATGTTATCATATCCTCACGTGTTGCTTTACAGGTCTGTGTAAAAGTAATTTGTCATCCAATGTTAACCAGGTTTTGTAAATAAACAAACACAATGGATTAGTATACACAACCCTGACCGCCTTTCGATAATTTGGTTATCATATCAATGTATGAAAATGAGTACAATCAAATATAACTACATTATTTTGATGCTTCCGTAGTTAAAATATGCAGTATAAAAAAAAATAAAAATGCCACGAAGGAAGCAGAATCTTGAAAAAAATAATTATCAGAACATTTTACAGAACGCAGTAAAATGTATTTTTTTGGAAAATAATTATGAAATATAGAACATTCTCACCATCTAACGTACCGGTATATGTATATCATGGCACAAGAATAAATCTACTAAAAGGTATTTGAATGAGCATTGACATAAATCATACAAAAAATAACTAAAACTGCAATATTGTTTCAGAGGCTATACGCAATATGACAACGACGTTTGATGGAGTATACGTTTACTGCTTCGACGATAAACCAATAACCCAGGATGATTCAGCAGTTGCTGCTATGTAAGTATGGTATTTGACATGCCATAAAATAAGAGGTAACAGTGCCATTGTTTCCCGGGTTTTACAACGTTTGCGTCAGCAGGATAAGCATCTACTGGCAATTCACGAATCACACGTCGTTTAAATCCTCACTCAAGTAAAAAATATTGATAAAATGAATAGGATATAATCGGTAAAATTTCAGGTCAAACAACTATCCTGGTTTACAAAGATCTAAGATCGCCAATATTTGCCTTATGCGTAGCGATCAACCAATTCGTTCTGACAAACTTGTGTAGTATCTATTTTACTCATTTTCATGAAATCCCTTCTGATGGAGTTTTGGGTTTGGAACACACTCCATATACTGCAAACATGCTTCCACGTAACATGTCAATTGTCAATTTGTCATAGATCCTAGTTTTGAAGTCGTGCGATTGTGTCAGTTTCAAGGAAACAAACCAGATATGAAGCCGACTTCTTATTTTTATAGAATCTTTATTGCCAAGTATACTGGGATATATGAGATGCAAACTTCGTTGAAATTTTGGTTCTCGAGTGACAGTTACATCGTTTTTGTACCTGAACGCAAAACTGAAGAATGATGCTTTTCATAGGTGCTTTTTTCATTTAGTCTTTTAGAAAGATTGTTTTAATTCCGCTTTGTATGAATACTAATATAGTTTTTATAGAAACGCGCATCTGGCGTTTATTATTATTAGCTTGATATCTTTGATAAGTTTTTTGGCCAGTACAAGTGCACAGCTAGTATGGATTCGAATATCGACTGTTTGTTGAAACATCAAACCACCTAAATTGGCAAATAAATTTTTGGTCGTTAAGTAAAACTTACAAGTTTTGTCCCGTTTTAATAATCACATATATGAAGTTTAAAATTGATGAAGAGTGATAGGCTCTTCTATTTCTTCAACAACAATGATTTTATTATTGAAATTAAGCAAACCTGGAAACAATTATTTGGAATAAAGTACAGATTTTGTAAGAAATATTTTTTTGTCTGTGACATGGTTTTTGATAGCCACTTTTTGGTATCTCTGTCTCTTTATGTATATATTATAATAGTTCTAATTTTAGTTTAAGAAATTCAATGTAATTAGAATACAAATTGCCTTTTCAGAATAATGTTATCAATCTTCGGGTTGCTGATTGTAATGGGAACGTTATATATGATGGTCACAAATATGAAACTGAATGCAAAATCGACAGACAATGCAAATAAACTGCCAAAAGTACCATTAGAAATGAAAGAAATGTACAACATGGCTTACAAAAACGACGAATCCGAAACTAAGGTCGATTTATCGAGCAAGACAACAGACATAGATATACCGAAAGGATATATGCCTCATGCCGAGAGCACTCAGAATGGTCTTCTGCATACAAATGGATCTGTAGGAAATGGAAATGTCAGCTACGAAAAACAGTCATTCCATCAGCTTGAAAAACCATCTCAGGAAAGTAGAGGAAAATCAAAGGCTAACAATGAAAAGAAAAAACAGGGTAATTATATGTAAATTGGCTTGTAGTTTTTGATAACCCTCTTGGTATCTAATCCTTTTTTTTATCGATTAACTGCTCAGTTCTTTAATTTTATATCTAAAAACTTCATGGTAATATTTTCAAAACAATACACTTCAGTAATCTAACCATAATAAATATTTCGCAAATTATTTAATTTGATGCACGCACACAATTACAGTTTTTTTTTCAAACCCATTAATATATTACTATAGCTGTATTTAACAAAATCGTTTGGAATTATGAGTTTTCAGTGCTCTTCAACTGTGTAGTTTATTTGGTCTTATAACCTTTCCATCTGAGTATAACTTATGAGTCTTCTGTAGACTGAATGTGCATCACTGCGTACAAAATTATAAGCCTAGTATCTTTGATGACTTTTGTTTTACACACAAACACAATGAAATTAAAAATTATTTTAAGATTGCTAAATAGTAAAATATGTCTACCATGTACTGTGAATTCATTATCATACGTTTAATAACTTTACAAGTTTCAATCCTAAATCGAGAATTGAACATCGGTAAACTTCTGTCGCCTTAATTCACGCATCGGTTTCATTCGGGTGTTTTCGGTCTTTAATGTACTTTCTCATTGTTGTACTTTTTTGTGTTTTCCTTTCTTGTGATCCAATATATACCCTATTGCATTAGAATCATTGGTGTACATTTGAAGGCAGAATATCAAAGTTCTCCAAAAGTTCAGACTTGAAACAGGATTGAACATAAAACAAATTAGTCATTATCTTGTATTACAAAGGGGTTAACTATTCTCTATTCACATGTTATTCCTTGTGTCTTTGTTGACCCTGACGATTATTTGGGTTTGTTTTCTTTGTCACTGAAAGGGATGCTTTCATCGCGACCTTTATTCTTATTTACAGATGCCGCTATATGATGAACGCAATATTTCCATTATATCTTCGTTAAATAAAGTTTTAACCTCTAATTGGACCTATATATGCACCATGGTATTAACCAGTTGTTTTTATGAGGTTGTTTATCCTCTCTTTTTTTTTCAGTGGGGGAATTTTTATTTTTGTTTAACTCAGTGGTAAACATATACTTTTTATTTTTTGTTTGTTTAAATACATTATTCTATATGATAAATGTTGCCTTTATTTCCAGGTGTACTCCATCGAATCTTAAAAGCTTTTGCACTTCAAGAAAATGTGGTGAAGGTACTTTCCGGAAAAACAAGCGGGAATTCCATCAACTGTATTCACGGCATAAGATTCCTCAGTTTGACATGGGTTATTCTCGGTCACACATTCAATTATGGAATTGTGTCAATTCCCTCCTTGTGGACAACAGGTATGTATTCGTAGATGTGTCTTTTGTTGAAGACAATATCGTGTACTCTAGATATATGTTGTGTGTTAGGGGACGACCATTTGATATTCTGGGGGGGGCCAGGAGGATTTTGAAAATAAATAACTCAGCCTTGATAATCACAAAAATAAATGGTTTGTTCTGTGGTAGTTCGAAAATAAATAACCTGACTTACAATGTATTGAAAATGAATAACTCGGCAGGTCTTCAAGCCATTTTATAAATGCTATTCGAAAGTATGAGGTGGCACCAGATTCTTCATCAAATTCATCTTTTTTTCAAAATTTTTTTCGGAAAACACTTCCCAAATCTTTTAACAATAAAGGTATAAATATTATTTAAATATACTTGAAATGTCTGAAAATGGGACCCCCAAGGGTGACTGGGGAATAGAAGTATGGTCACCATTGGTCTTCCTCCGACCGGCAGTAAAACCCGTGCTAAAGTGGGGCGTCCGTTTGGCTGTGCGGGATGTACAAATTTGCAGCCACGTCCGGTCAGAATGGGGACGTTTAATCCTATGCCTCGTGAAAAGAAAGTGCCACGTTCTTTGCACGTTAAGAACCCATGCAACAACTCTTTGAGGGGTCCGTAGGTGACCTGTTGCAAGGCTAAATTTCTGTCCCTATCCAATATACACTCATTTCCCGTGGCAGTCTAAATTTCTCCGACCTTAATCCCTTAATCTATTACAGAACCTACCTATTGTATTTATTGTGAACTTGTTCTCGTCCTGAATATGCATGAAATATTTGCCACTGGACGTTAAGCAACCAACAATCAATCAATCAATCAATCTGAAAATGGGTTTCATTTAACTTGAGGTATATTGGCTCAGGAACACTTACCTCACTTTTATTACAGGGCTGTAACTACATTGAGGCAAATGCCTTTATGTAGGAAATTTTAAAACCAAAAGCTTGTCTTCATATCAAATTGTTTTCACAGCGAGTGTTTGCAAGAAGCAAGTTCTGTTCTCCCTTGGACGTAGCACGTGTTTTTTTTCGGGATCAATGTTTCTTTAAATTTGTCTTTTGTTCATTGATTGCCCTTCTGTATTCTCTTAGTGTTGCATTCCTTTTGTGATTTAGTAATTTTGTTTTCAACTTGATCATGAGTTTTATTTTATTTAAGACTTTTTAGCTAATTTTACAACTTAACTACTTTAAATTGTATCCCAGTTAAGAGCTACATCAAGTTGTAATTGAAATGTGTTATTAAAAATTACTTGACTAATAATCAGCCCCCTCTTAACTTAATTTGAATAAAACCCCATATAATTTACAGGTATAAAAGATTTAAATTCTGCATGCCAAAACAACAACAAAAAAACAAAAAAAAACCAGCAGCCAAATACTTAACTATGTGAATTACATTTTTACTTTATTCTTCATATTGGTCTTTTGATGTTGTCCATAAAAACTTAAAGTCTTACGCTGAATCTATACATTTTGCTTTGAGACCAAAATATTGTCAAAAAATTATTAAAACAGAACTTGCATTTGGGAACGCCCAGAAAGCACGATTTTGCATCATCTGTTCTATAGTTTCTTTGGGCCTTCAGCGGCTTCAAAACCCTTCAAAATTTTGTTGCCTCGCTCCGCTCGGCGTAAATATATTTGACAATACTTTTAAAAGAGGCTAGTCACAGCCCAACTCTAATACCGTTTATGTATGCAATACATGTATATGCAGTTTGGAATTCAGAAGATTTATTTCCACAGAGGATGATTAATTCTGATTAAATGGTACATTAATGACTTGACTGTACATGTATTATTTACAATAAAAAAATGAATTTAAAAATTGTATGTTTTCAAATATTATTAATATAGTTATGAAAATAAATAATCAGTCCCTTGTTTTAATGCAAATGAAAAATCTTGCTTCAACAGTGCAGAAAATAAATAATCTGTCCTCTTAGTTTACAAAAATAAATAACCGATCCAAAAAAAATCCTCCTGGCCCCCCCCAGAATATCAAATGGTCGTCCCCTTATATGATTGGTGTCTGATCGACGTAAACTGACATCTTCTTTACTTATAATGAGATCATAGAACATCATATGGATCTTTAATTTGCTAGTAAACTTTAGAAAATCATTATTAACCTAAATATATAGTGAAAATGACACAATATTTCGTATCTATACGGCTTACTTCAAAATGATTTCTTAAGAGTTGATGGGGTTATAATTCAACACTTTTGTTATTTGTTTTCTTTTACATTTAAAACTATATTATATATCTGTGACATTAAATAAAATTTGAAATATTTCAGAAAACATTGTGGAAGCCACTGAAATGATGAAACGATTTACTTTCCAAGCTGTGATTGCTGGTGGATTTTCTGTTGATACTTTCTATATGATTAGGTAACTTTTTTTTAACTTTCCTTCAAGGATTATGATGAAGGAAATTAAGAAGAATACTCCTCAGACTTTTTTACAGATGTGCCTGTTAATTGTGTCAAACCGTCGGATGGGTTTTCTGCTTGAAACTTTCACAGTGAAAGGATCAAAAGAAAAATAACACAGAAACATAAGTATTATGACATAACAATATTAAAAAATAATATTGCAAGGTTTATATCATAATTCGGCGTTAACAGTGTATATAACTAACGACATTTTTAAAGACAGATTTCAGTATTGAATCTTTGGAATTTTGTCTTTCATGTTTGCCTAAAAAATTTCGAAATCTTTCATTGAAAGAAAGATTGCAAATACTGCCAGATAGCCTAATTTTGCTATTTTGCCTTTACTATTTCGACATGGACAACAACTTATCCCAAAACGGTATGTAGCTATGTCGTTATAGTTGAAATATGTCATTTTTGACATGTAAATGATTTCACAGCAATATTACAAATGACTTTACTGAACTATATTGGCCAGACTACAACATATTGTTAAAGGGGTTGAGAATTTACTATGTTTTGCAAAATTTGGAGGCCAAATAATGGCTGTTATCGTACATCTTCATCTGGCTATTTACTCAATACTTTTTTCATATTTTATGAGCATATTACTTTTATATGATTAACAGATTTTACCTTTTTTTTCAGTGGAATGCTACTGACTTACTTGCAAATAAAACAAGTAGAAAAGTTGACAAAACGCTTCAACGGTGGAAAAACGGCGGCTTATACTTTTAACTACTATTTTCATAGAATATGGAGGTATGTTAATTATCTATCTATATTAATATCTTAAGGACTGGTTTATTTCTTGATGTGAGCAATGTGTGGGACTTTTTGAGCTACAAGCACGACTACTTAAATGGTCAGCAATGTAACTACTTGAAAATTTGAAGGAAAAAAACTTCACCTGACGAGATATAAAAATGCAAATCTTAAGTGAATAAAGTTATTACCTTTGTAATCTCAGTGATATTTTTTTTGCTCGAGATCTCGATGATAATGATTGATGGTTTTTTAACGTTCATCGACAAAATAAATAAATATTCAAAACGAAAACAATGTAATATGAATATCAACCCTGATTTGTTCTATATCGATGCGCTGAGCCGAATTTTTAACGGGCTAGTTTACAAGGTAACAGTCCGTAAGAAGACATGTCACCCTCCCCGGACACATTATTCTGACTTCGAGCTGACCGGTCTTTGAACTTTCTTACTTAACTTAATGCCAAATGATTAACGGAGAAGCAGCAAATATCAGTTTTAAAGACTTTAGATTGACCTGGCCGGGGTTCGAACCCAAGGCTTCACACTCGAGGCGAACATGTTCACGAGACGACCGAGGCGGTCTTAATAAATTGAATAAAGAAATCCCAATCAAATAGGCTAAGCGGTTAAAAGCTGAAGGTTTGTGGTATCTAGTATAATATGTACAATAATTTATACTAGTTTGTATATTTAAGATGCCGGTTTATATTTCAAGATTTTTGTTGGCTTATTAATTAACATCTTTGCCTACAATTTTAAAAGAAATACATGCCTTTATGTAAGAAAAAGTTTTTGTATAAAATGAAAATTTTCAAAAAACTTGTTTTCAGACTAACCCCTATGTACATGATGGTTATAATGGTGTATGGGTGTTTGATGAAGTATTTTGGTGATGGTCCACTATGGCCAGAAGCAGTCAAAACTGCTGACGACTGTAAAATAAATTGGTGGACGAACCTGCTATATGTAAACAATCTTGTTCACGTCGACGGTCAGGTTAGTATGAACTTAAAGAGACTACACTATCCACCAGAATCAGAATCCAAATGTTGTGGATGAAAACAACTATAGGTCACCGTACGGCATTTAACAATGAGTAAAGCTCATATCGTATATTCAGCTATAAAAGTCCTTTACTTGACAAAATGTGAAACAATTCGAACGAGAAAACAAACTGCCTGATTCATGACAAAACAATCTTGGAGAAACAAATATGACAGACGGAAAACCGAACACAATCCCTATACCTAAAAAAAATAATGAGCTGGTTTCCACTGAAATACAGGATACTAGCTTTAAACAGGCACATAAAGAATGTCGATTATCATTGCTGACCATAATTGAGACTTGTATATACGTTAAATGCAATTTCATGTCACAAATATGTTATGAGTATAGAACTCAATCTTTAGGACACAATGTGTTTGTCATACTGTAAAATACATAACTATATCGTAAACTTTTTGATACATGTTCAAAACAAGGAAGAATAGACACCGATGGTGGAATCAAAAACCATACCGTAAACATTTTAGAGGGGATAAACTCGTGTATGTTCACATTATATATGAGAGGGTGTGCTCTTGTTCTAAGGGATGAAAAAGAACGACTGAAGTTTTCCTGTCATCGTTTGGAATTGGTAGACCGATACGATGTGTCTCCTGCGTCGTCCCTCTTATGAAAACAAATAGTCACCCCCTTACTTTACCATTAATCGAATACTTATAGCTAGTGTATCATAAGGGAGCAAAAGCTTACTGTTCATCTTGTTTGTTCTTTACAAGTCTTTGTTTTTAATTTTAGTGTATGGCATGGTCCTGGTACTTAGCAAATGATATGCAGTTCTATGTTGTGTCATTGTTCTTTTTAGTATTCCTTGCAATGTAAGTATTTGAATATGTATTCCTTTAACAGTAAAAATTCAAATTCATACATGTCTTTTTCATTTTATTATCGCTTAAACGTATATTTTTAAATATATATATATATATATATATATAGTTATAGTATGTGGACACAAGTTATTTCTTTATTCATTGTATAAATCAGTTCCTTTAAAAAAAACTGTATTGAACTTATTTCCACTCTGAATTAATTAATTTTTCTCCATCGAACTTTGAATTCTTTGATATTTTTTGCCGTTATTGTAACATAATTTTCGAATGTTGAGTTTCAAAAGAATTAGTTGAAAGAAAGCGTTACTGTCCATGTGCATTTAAGAAAAAAAACCTGTACCCCTTCTGTTTATCTAACACACACATTGGATGGTTGGTGGTTTGTATAATCTGACATATATTGGAAGATTGGGACCAGGACGCTTTAAAACTCGTTTACGTGTGTTTATTTATAAATAGGTGTTGGATAGTAGGGGTGCTTATATAGTTTTTTACTTCTTTTTTACGAAATGCAGGGTACGTTTTACTGTATACAAAACATGGTCAGACTTTTTAAAGCAGCAACCATTAATGTCCTTTCGTGTGAATTGTTTATATTTTATATGATGATTCTCATGCATGATACTTATTTATGCCAAATCTATTAAATTTTCAGTTCTATCCGAGTTGGTGTAATTCTGATTTCTTTATTGATGGCTGGTGGAATAGCAGCTGCCTGGTATGAAGAACACATTTACAACGGAAGTTTTTTTACGTAAGTTAACTCTTCCAGAGCATCTGAGATTAACCCCCGGTTTTGTGGGGTTCGTGTTGCTTAGGCATTAGTTTTCTCTGTAGTGTTTTTGGACATCTTTGTCTATCGTCGTTTTTTGTTTTTTGTTTTTCATTTTTCGCCTTGGCATTGTCATTTTCCCTTCGACTTATCAAGTTTGAATGTCCATTTGATATCTTTCGCCTCTTTTTAACAAAAAATTGTAGGACATGTGTTGTACTCAACGACCAGCTCTATCTTAAAACAAATCTGTATACACCTTGTGTCATTTCCTTAATGATCAAAAGGACATTTTGCTCAGACTGCAGCCATACAAGGCACTCAATTCTTACAAAATGACGGAATGGCAAATCTTCAATGAATGTCATTTCTTGGGGGTATTTGTCTTTGACCATAAAAATTTAATAGAATTATAGATACAAAAAATATGAAAATGAAAATGAAGTTAGTTCACACAAATGGTAATGAAATATTGAACTTAACAAAAATGCATAAATTATTTTCGTTAACATAGAATTTAAGTCAGGATGTTTGAAATGCATAACAATTATTGAAATTCTCCAATTCGATGAATATTGTAGAACAAAGAAAGACGGTGGCGGATATTGGAACAATGTGTACATTACGCCATGGTGCAGAGTAGCAGCGTACTGTGTTGGTATGCTTCTTGGTGTACTGTTGTATAAACGTCCAAAGAAAGCATTAAAAACAGTAAGTTGGTAAAATATGCAAATCGTCTGCCTTCATTTTTTCTAATTTTTGAACTCACGACTAACAAAAGTCATATGAAGCACGAATCTGATAGTCCCCAATTCCAAGTCAACATCCAATCAAAATATATCAGGTCATTGCAACTATTTGTATCTTTTTGTTTAGTAATACCTGTGTAAAACGTGTTTTATGAAACAAACAGATGACATGAATTGGTTAGGTTTTTTTCTATTCCAAAGAATTTGTAGATTTCATTCACAATTGAGATACACTAATCCTTTGATGAGATTTCATTCACAATTCAAATATACTAACCCTTTGGTGAGATTTCATTCACAATTCAGATACACTAAATAAATGCTTTGGTGAGATTTCATTCACAATTCAGATACACTAATCCTTTGGTGAGATTTCATTCACAATTCAGATACACTAATCCTTTGGTGAGATTTCATTCACAATTCAGATACACTAATCCTTTGGTGAGATTTCATTCACAATTCAGATACATCAATGTTCGTGGATCGGTAATCTTTAATGAAAAGTAAACTAAGACCGGATCGTTTTTCTTTTTAGAAATATTCATTGCTAGGATGGTCGATTGCAACAGCTATGGGACTCGCTCTTGTGTATTGCACATATTCAGAATACAAAGAAGGGGGGACAGAATGGTCTAGAGATTTCAGAGCAGCTTACGAATCATTAGGACGTCCATTGTGGGCAGCCTGTGTTGCATGGGTTGTATTTGCTTGTCATAATGGCAATGGAGGTTTGTACACATACTTTTGAATTTTTCAACTAAGAACAAGACATTCATAAGTCCATTCAAGTCATCACAAACATAGCCATATAAAAAAGAGACACACACTGATTTCAAAACCATCACATATATAAAAGATGAACGATTGAGCAACAACAATGCCACCAAACTGTCAAAGCGAGTGTGAACTACAGCACTGGATTGAAAACTATTGAAGTTGTACACAATGATTTGCATACAATAGTCCTATGTACATTCTATATGTCTATGTGAATGCAGACTTTCAGTGTATAGCAGAATAGCCAATTCTTTATAAACACATGTCTTTGGATAAATTTCTTTTAAATAGAAAACTGTAAACCATAAAATTTACTTCCTTCATTTTTTTATATGTAACACAAAATGATTTTTTGAATAAAACCTGTATCGGTTTTATTTTTATTTTCCAGGTGTGGTTGACAGTCTTTTATCATGGAAAGGATTAATTCCCCTTTCCCGCCTGTCCTATGCTGCTTATCTTGTTCATCCAATTATGATGATGATACATGTTTATTCTAAGAGAGCTTTAGTTTATATAAGTGACTATGAAATTGTAAGTTTCATCAATTAACACTAGATATAAAATTAAGAAGATGTGGTATGATTGCCAATGAGACAACTCTCCACAAGAGACCAAATGGCACAGAAATTAACAACTATAGGTCACCGTACGGCCTTCAACAATGAGCAAATCCATACCACATAGTCAGCTATAAAAGATAGTTCTTAACTCGCACAAGTGTGGGCATGATACTGCATACTTTTATTTTTATGTAGTTATGCTGTATTTACTTTTGCTAAGTTATCTCTATAAGAATAACACAAAATGTACCAAAATGATATGTGCATATCAAAAACAATAAGGAACAATGAAAACCAGCATTATAAAACACAAAACTTCATAGAAAAACATAAGATCGATTGCAATACGGTCATTTGTTTTTGTTTGTGTGTATTTGCTGTCTCATTGACGTACACCCCAAATCTCGTTATTAAAATTAATATGATACTGATAAATGAGTTTGGATACCTTAAATGCACGAAGACATTTTACTGAAAAGCCTTTCTTGTAATCCGAAGAGAGTAGTACTACCTCTTACTTTGATGGTGATATTACCACATATGCAAATTAACAAAACAACAAATGTCGGTGACAAAAAAATATTGCACGCATATGTTATAGTTTAGGCACTATAATAATCTACTCTTTTTTTAATTTCAAACGTTCAACATTCGATATCTATTTTTTCATATACTTTGTTTTTTTTACAGATTTATTTGTTCCTTGGACATACGTGCTTCACATTTATGGTAGCCTTTGTAGTGTCCATATCGTTTGAAGCTCCTTTCATGGCCCTGGAGAAGATCATCATGGGAAGATGAGTTTCACCATCTATTACAGACTCCAAATGTAAAAATGAAATGCATTAAAATATCATCAAAATTCTTCTATCCGCTTTCGCAAACTAGCATTTGACATCATATATTTCAACTTGGGTGCTTTTGTAGTGATTTGTGTATCATTGTCTCATAGAAGAATAAATATGAAGATAGAAAGTTGTCCCGTTATGGACAGAGTTGAGTTGGTGTTATTCATATAACATTCAGTTGAATAAAGAAACCATGTTTACAAACTAGATTACGAATATGTTCATATATAACATTCTCTTGAATAAAAAAATATTTTTTACAAAGTAAAAATTCTATATGTAAAAGAAATCCATATCTGAATGTAGGATTAACGACGCAATCAAAATTGCAAAACAGCATTAGATTTGTCTGTCTTGTTAATGTTTTTTCTCAGTATTATGAGTTATGAACAATGCAATTTAATATTTTCTCTAACTTTTGTGTCTTTGTAGTAATTTGTATCTTTTTCGATGTAATTGTTTTGTTTTTTATGTGATGTTTAGTAACCTGAAATGGAGATCAATCACCAAAATTTGATCTGAAGTTATAAGAAAGTAATGGCCTATGTTTCTGTAGTTAACGTCATGTATCGTTTAAATATAAATACGCATACTTGTTTTCTGTTTTAAGAAAACTTTAATCATTCCCTTTAAGAAATTCGAAATATTCATATTCATAAGCAATCTTGTGTTAGTTTTACCATTTGCATTTTTTTTCATTTAGAATTTTTGTTTGGCAATGTTTTCGAAAAATTATCTTTTACTATTTTGAAATCTGCTTTTAGTGATTCTTTTCCATATTTTATTTTTGTTGATAAGTAAAACCACAGTACACCACAACAAATAATTCGATACCATCTATTTAACTTTAACATTGGGCATTATTTACGGAGCTCAGTTTTATCATATTGGTAAGGTATATATAAAGAAAGAAAAAAAAATTAAAAAAAAGGTCTATTGTTAATTGTTACGTATTCTTCCATAGGATTTATTTATTTGTGCTTTTTTACGCCACCTTAGAGCAAAAGGATATATCGCAACGTTCTATAGTAGGAGGTCTATATATTTTAGTTATAAAGAGAGTAAATATAAGACTTCCATCATTACTTTATTTGTTAGATCTGAATTTTCTAGCAAGTGGATTTATTTATTTCAAATGTAATTTGTTCATTATTATGTAATTTATATGTATATATTCAATCTTATTTCATGTACATTCATGTTGTTTAACTTGTTTTCATGATAAATGTTATACTTCTTGAATGTTTTATGTTTCATATCTTTTAATATAAAAAATAAGAAATTGTGGCATGATTGCCAATGAGATTTCCCAACAGGAGGCCAATGACTTAGCAGTTTTAAGTTTACGCACCATAACTTTTTAGTTTTCAACTTTGTCAGAAATATCAATGATAATATAATCACTGTTAGAATCTAGAGTTCTGTTTAGAATAAAGGAGACGGTATACGTGTCTTTCAAAAATAATTCAGTGATTAATTGATGTTTGCTTACCGTCCAGTGACAAATATTTTATCCATATTCAGGAAGAGAACTAATTTACAATTAATACAAAATGTAGGTTGGATGAAGTAATTCGACTTGGATGAAATGCCTGAAATTTAGACAGAAAAAGAGTATATGGTGGAACATATATTTTGTCTTACAACAGGACATTAAAGGGTTATTGCAAAGGCTATTTATAGTTCCAACATCTGCAATAACGTCCCCATTCCGATCTCAAGTGGCTTCTTGTTTATTCATACAGAAGAAACAATCGGACGCGCACCTATCTAACATGCGTTTAATTGCTGGATGGGAGAAATCAAAAGGATCATATATCCATAAACAAGTCAACCATTGGATCCCTCTTTGAATATAGTATTGCAGTATAGAACAATTAATAATAAAAACACCTTGACGTAAACACTGCTATATGAAACATAGTGCATCTGTCTTTACTAGCACTTCTAATTGTTAAAGACGATAACCTATTTAGCCACCTATTTAGTATAGCCTCGTAACAAAATTCACTGTTGAATCACAGGCAAATCTAGTCCAAATAATTATGATGTCTTGAAAGGCTATTTTATTTTTTTTGCTTTCACGCCTTACTGCGACGCATAATTATGACGTCTTGAAAGGCTATTTTATTTTAATTTTGGCTTTGACGCCTTACTGCGACGCACGCACTAAGGCGTCAAAGCAAAAAAAAATAAAATAGCCTTTCAAGACGTCAATTATTTGGACTAAGGCAAATCTAACTCTTACATTTCAGACTTTTAAATTTTCTTGCTGAAAAGCTGTAATAATCTCGGATATCTGTAGTTGTGTCGATGAGATTTTCTATTTCAATTAAGTGGACTTTTGTTTTCTATTCATTTTTTGCAGCTTTATCGATAGCGTTGTCTGAGTTCTTCCCTCTTAACATTCTATGTGCTTTTTCTAAAGATGTTGTATATTTTATCTGTTGTGAGACTTTAATTAATATTATAGTGTTTGTCTCGTTCGATATACCAACGTGGCAATAAGAGTTATAAGTTAGAGAAGAATAGACAACGCCATTATCAAAAGAAAAAAATGGAAAAAAAGACATAAATGTTTTCTTTAGATACAAATACAATCGTATCTTTAAAAGGTCCTTGGTTTCGTACACATGACAGTATCGTCGGATTTTTGGTCTAAATAAAGATGATGTTTACAAAATGACAGAAAATATTTTAACTCATCACATAAAGTTGCAACGATTATATGGGGTCACTGGCTGCATTTTTTTCCCCAGTAGAAAACAAGTAGTCTCGATAAGAGATCAGAATCGTGGAAAGGGGTTTTAAGAAATGACAAAAGAAACGTAGTCGTGACAGCGTCACACTGCAAAATCGTTTTTGTTCCGTATGTTTTTATATATATATTAAATCATAATAAAATGTTTTTGACAGAAAAAACGAATGATACGACCCCTATGCGTTTTCGTATCGTCATGGCGGAAATGTTTTCAGCAATAATAGTCATTTTTTTATCCAATTTATGTGGACGGATTTTCCAGGAAATTGCAATTTAAAGTGAAAAATATTTGCGTAAATTCGATACATTTATAGATCTATATTTTATTATTTTTTATATATTTTATATCTTGAAGAATAAAAGTTACATAAAATTTTATCATTTTTCGGTATTCAGGTGCAGTTCAATTAGTTCTAAATGCATACTAAATTTCACCAAAACCGAAATATCGCACAGTTTTGTATGCATTTGCCATAGGGTTTTGTACTTTATAATTTGATTTTGACGACCGATCTTTGATGGTTAATGTTCTATTCACAACGTTCCGATAAATATTCCATTGAAGAACTCGTAATATTCATGGGGTCCATTTTCGTTATATCTCATAACAAAAAAAATATGTATAGTAAATAACATTTTTAAGATGAAACAAATTTCCTCTATGATATACAAAAAATCTTTAGAAAATAAAATTGAATGAACTTAGTGGTATACTGAGAAAATTATGAAATTAGGAGATCGTGTCGACATTTCGACATTGTTCCGGTACATAAATGCCTGCAGATATATGTCAAAATATAGTAATTTTCTAAAACTTCCTTTTTGTGGAAGACTAAAAATATATTTTCTCCAAGGTAAGACTCTTTTTTGCTACTCTTAAACTATTGAAATCTAAAAGTAAGTTCTAAGAAAGAAATTAAGAACGATTTATCTGCAATTCATTTATTTATTAATTCATTTAACAATTTATTTATTTATTTTACATTTATTTTCCGTTTACATCTGGGACTATTATACTAACATGATTATATTAGTCTAATAGTCCCAGTTTACACATTGTTTAATTTGCATTATTAGGGGGAAAGTTATAACTTTTTTTGTATTGTTTACAATTTACATGGAAATTATGGAATCAGCCATATTTTGTCTGTTCTGAAAACTTTCATCCATCCATTCATTCATTCATTAGTTATTTATTTATTTATCTATATTCATTTATTTATTTATTGTTGACAAGTGTGCGAAAACGTTATTAACCCGGGCCTGTTTATCGAAGCTGTCCTAGAATCTGTCTTAAGACCTTTCTTAGGAATAAATTCGGATAATATTAACGTAATGGAAAATAGGATGTTAATAATTAAAAATATATAGAAATGCATCAAATCTCACCAGTAGTAATACTTATAAGATTAAGAATTATTATTTGCATTTTTATAAAGATAATCAATATTATTCCATATTGATAAAACTTTAGAAGGTTTTTCTATCTGAATGGGATTTCGAATAAATAAGCATATTCACCTGCGGAAAAACGTCGCGTGCTTTTACGTGCATAATTTTTGTAAAAACGTTTGATTGGCAATTGGTTTTGGTTAATAATTGCTATTACATACATTTCTCTCGGAATATGGAATAAAACAATTACTGTCTTTTGCTTCGGTAAATATGTGGTTTAATTGACTTTTGAAAAACTGATATTCACTTCGGCCATTGGCCTCAGTGAATATCAGTGTTTCTAAAGTCAATAAAACTAAGGACATGACCTAGTCCTAAGAGCACTCCAATAAACAGGCCCCCGGTCTAATATAAAACATGGTTCATATTCATATCAAAATATGTTCTCGGCTTGCTTAGAACGGCTAAAACATAACTCGCTGGACACTATTTATCTATCCATTCATGAGGGTCTGAAAGGGTCTTCAGAATAATTCAACAGATAAAAATGGACGAAAAATAAAGAATACCCAATAATGGCGTGCTAAAATATTAAAAAATGAGAATAATGGACAAATTTAAAGTCTCCCCCATTCCACCCCCTTTTCATTACTATGTTTAAAAAATATTGGATTGTATTGCAGATGTGACATCAGATAAACAAACATCAGTCAAAAACAGCAAACATGGAGATTAAATTAGCAAACGCACTGTCTTGCCTTGCCATACTTCTGCTCTTTATTTTCAATACATCTGAAGCTGTCGAGAAAAAATCAGATGATAGTTCCGGTAAACAAAAAGCGCTGTATATTGCAGAAATTTTGCTTAAACACCCTCACTTGGCGGAGCAAATATGGAATATTGGATTTACTGCTTTAATTAGTGGTGTAGGTCATGGCAACCAATCTCTCGATAAAGAAACAAAGAAAATGTTTTACAATTACGTTCTTGACAATATTCCTCGCCTTTTGAAAAATAAAGATTTTGAAAATATGATACATGATATTTCTTACGAATTGACTGAAGCATATAAGAAAGCCAAGTTGACTACAAGTACAGATTTTTCAAATTCAAACGATAGTTCTATAACACACGAAGTAGCTAGCGAGATTATAAAGCATTTGGATATAGGAAGACTATTAAAGAAGAGTGCGAGAAATGGGAAACAGATATTGGACGGAATAAGGGGGAAAGAAACGACAGATATAGTTTTGATGGCTAATAAAATAATTGATATGGTTCCAGCAATTTTGAATAGTACGTCATTTAACGAGATAAAAGATATCGTTATTAAAGAATTTCTACAAGGATACGAAACACTTATGCGAGAACAGAAAGGACGTTTTGACGGCATGGGGGATAATGTTACTGACTTCATTATCAACGTTCTAAAACATACAAATTTACAAAGACTAACCACTGATATATTATTGGCGGGAAAACCAATTATAGACAGTATTAGGGGAAAGGATTCTACGGGTTTGTTGATGGGACTAGGGTATGTTGCTAAAACCTATCCAAAAATATTAGCCAACGAACATTTCCAGCATGTTAAAGATATAGTAATGAAGCATTTTGAATCTACGTTTCTTCAGTTAAACCTAACTAATTTGGACTTGCAACAAAATGCCAGTAGTGTTATCAAAGATGTCATCTCTAACACAAATAAACTCCAAATGGTACAAGAAATACTGAAACAGTACAGTGCGAGGAATGTTCTGCGATTATCTGTAAACGATAGTGTAAATGGCATCTGTTATAGTGATTCTATTGACTTTCTCGATTCCTTGATGACTATGTCACCCTGGTCAGTTAAAAGTAAGTGGTTTCATTTGTAACGTTCAAACAGACCGTCACAATGCTAAGAAAAAAAAGAATCAATGTAAACTAGAAACTGCAGTTAAGCTTAATTATATATAAAACAAATTTCTTTTGTAGGTCTGTTCACTGACAAAATTGCATTACCTTAAATTTTAAAATCCACTGGCAAATAGTTTGATGTTTTGTTTTGTATTAATTCTTTATAATCCTTCACTGTACAAATCATTTAAAGATTTTGAATGATTTGAATTGAATTGAATCACTTGATAATCTGAGTTAAAAAAAAACCAGAAGGAAACTTTAACAAAAAGTAATAGATTACCCTTTTTTAGTATGAAAATTATATTTTCTTGAAAGTTGCAACATTTCTCATCAAAGAGGCCTACACGATACTGAATTGTTATAATCATTTTTTTAATTAAGGTTGTAAAAGAGAGGCGAAAGATACCAATGGGACATTCAGACTCATAAGTCGAAAACAAAACTGACAACGCCATGGCTAAAAAAAAAAGAAAAAGACAATCTGACAAACAACAGTACACACAACACAACATAGAAAACTAAAGACTGAGCAACACGAACCCCAAGAGACCGGGGGTGATCTCAGGCTCTCCGGAAGGGTAAGCAGATCCTGCTCCACATGCGACATCCGGCAAAATTTGACCTTTGCTTATTTTGGTTCTTCTGATTAGACCGGTTTCATTGTGATGGTCTCAAAACTATTTATGATTTTTTACTTGGAAATTGTCCAGGAAAAGAAAAAATAAAATTTCAAGTCGTACAAATCATAAAGAGTATCAAAATATGAAGAAGAAAAAAACAATTGTAAATGATGAACTTTACAACAAGGAAAAGCTACATCCTCTGTATACAACTTACAGGAAATGATGTTGTCATATCAACTATTTCATTGTTTTATTTTTTGTGGTTTAGTGTTCGATTCCATTGGAAAATTAAGTGACGGTATATTTGATGGACACTTGAACATGGTTGGATCATATGACGAGTGTACCAATGTCCGCGCATACATTCCTAAAGGTACAATCCTTGGACACAAGACTAAACAAACAGACAGATCATTTAATGGACGATTTTGTAGAGTTAAAATGAATATTCCTCAAGAAGTACTTGAAATGGTAAGCAATATATATATAAGAAAAATATTTTTATCTTGAACTCTCATTTTATATATACCATATTATTCAATGGATATGTGGTGTATACTTCAATGAGACTTATCATGAAACGCAATGACATGATAAATCTAAAGATGTCTAGAGTCTTCAACAAGAAACAATTGTCTATGCAATATTTCAAGTTCAATATCACCACGAGTTTAGAAATGAAAAGTGTAAATGTAACAGAGGCTTTCAAAGATTTGCCATCAAAGTCATTTCTCATCCAGAAGTGGATAGTATACGCTTTTGGGATGTGGGATATAGGGAGTACAAAAAGTGGGGATATGGGATGTAGGGTGTAAAAAAATGGGATCTTAGAAAAAAGTGTGAAGTGGGAAAAAATTACAAAAAGCTGGATTTTGGAAAATGGGTACAGCATACCAATGAATAAATTCACTGATGAGTTTCCTGACTTGTCACATGCACATGAACTGTACGAAGAACGAGTAGGTTTTTTTTTTACTTAAAACACAAATATATTTGTTGATGACTTAGCAAATAACTTTAACTATATTGTCCATGTCGTTTTACTAAATATAAGATTTAAATAGCTTTGGTTCTGATTTATTGCACTGAAGTTAAACTTGATGTTTGGTTTTTTTTTCTAGGACACACATGGCATACGCCTTAGTCTGACATGGGGACTTTGCGTTCCTGACAGCTGCCAACACAACGACGTTAAAGAAATACTCAGTTCAGGTATTATAGATCAAAAAGACAAATAATGCTGTGAAATTTTTACCCAAGTGCCTATCAAGTAGCATATAAACGTAACAAAAATAGAAAAGATTACCTTGCGAAATCAGGGTAACAGTTGAAAGACTTTTGAAAAGGGACCCATGCTTAAACAGTTTGAAGCAAAAAATCCCGATACACTGTTGGTAATAATCTGAATTATAGGCAACAAACTTATTATGAATATGATTTAGCAAAAAACGATGTTAAGTCTTGAAATTAATTACGAATGTTGGTTGAAGGATCGCATTTCATTATAATGACGAGAGTTCGGGAGACCAAGATATCAATATGTTGAATTATTCATCTCATGAATATTCATTAGTAATGTGAATATTAATCTCAGTGTGTAATTAACAATTCTCAGTGTGTGTTTTTCAATTTATTTCATCTCAGTGTGTCTTTTTAAAATCTCAGTGTGTAATTTTAAATTCTCAGTGTGTGTTTTTCATTTTTGTTTAAATCTCAGTGTGTAATTTTAATTTCTCAGTGTTATTTGAGGTTTTTAAATCCCAGTGTGTTTTTTTTTTTTTTTTTTTTTTAATTCTCAGTGTGTAATTTTTTCGAAAAAAGAGTTTAAACATTGTTTTGATGAGAACGGCTTGCCATATACGTCTGTAAGTACATAGATCCCAAACTTAGTTTCCGTTCTCTAACTTTAGTTTGCCTCAACCAAATGTGATGACACTTATACACCATGCTTATTACCACAAAACACAGATCAAGTTTGGGTAGTGTCACTTTTATTGTTCTAGAGTTATGCCCCTTTACAAATGGAAAAATGCTGAATTTTTCCGTTCTCTAACTTCAGTTCGCCTCAACCAAGTGTTATGAAACGTACACATAATGCTTATTGCCACAAAACTCAGATCAAGTTTGAATTTGGGTGGCGTAACATTATACCGTTCTGGATTTATGCCCCTTTATATATGAAAGAATTGCTGAATTTTTCGTTTCCGTTCTCTAATTTCAGTTTGCCTCAACCAAATGTTATGAAACTTATACACAATGATTATTGCCACAAAACTCAGCATCCTTCACGTGTTCACAAGATATTCAGGTATCCGTTTCTATAATCTCGAATTTTGTTCAATATATTTACGTTCTAGGCTTCAAGTTTCTTGCGTTTGCAACCACAAAACTCCCAAATGGCCTCATTTGAGATCTTATCATAAAGATATAAACCAAAAGGGTATTTTGCAAAATGCTAGTAAAATATCTGTTTGGGAAAGGTCTTGGCTAAGAACTAATTTGACCAAAATCTTGCAGAATGGCAATTTCAAATCAAATACGACGGTCGCTTTCAACGTGTTATTTTAATATCAAAACTGACATTTCCGAACTGAAGTGTCTAGATTATACAATCCTTTTCATTTTTTCAAATAATTACTACAGGGTTAAAGACTTTTAGGGGCCAAATATTGACTCTTTTTATGATCATATACTACTATCCATTATTGTTAATTTAATATTATTTTAAGTTATTATTATTATTATTATTATTATTATTATTATTATTATTATTATCATTAATTTCCTCATTATTATTATTATCATTATTATTATTATTATTATTATTATTATTATTATCACTACTCCTCTTTTAGTTAAAATTTTTAGTCAGCATTAATTTTTGATATTTACTTGTAGAAACACTGAAAAAGATAGCACCTTTCCTAGGCAGTGTGTCAGTATATTGTGCAGAGGATAAATCGGTCTCGGATGATCCTTCAGCTATTACGGCAATGTACTTCTTTCATTTATTTCTTGTCATTAAAATCTGTTTAAAACAACGAGATGTTTCAAATCATATGTTGTTCAAAATATGCATATCTTTGCGAGCTTATTGTAAAATAAACATATTCCAGTGTCCCAATATTGTTTTTGAAATATTATACTTATTTTTCATTTATTTAAAACTTTTAACAACAAACTGATATTTTGTGCATATAGTTACTAGTCAATGTCTTACATTAATATAAGTATCAAACTTTAAAAAAAAATTGTATTTGCCTTTTTGACTGTATAAATATTTACACTATTATGTTATATTCTAAATTTACAGTGCTATCTTATCCATTTTTGGAAGCATCATGTTGATTGGCACAGTTTTGGAATTGATATTATCAGAAAGATCAAAATGGCACAAGTCCTGGTATCTGGACAAATTTACAAAAGCGCAAAATAATTCAAAACAGTACAACGAAACGGATGCAACTACCGGTAATAAAGACATGACTGACGGAACCGTTCAAAGTTGTAAAACCGAGAAACTTGACAGTAAGGAAAATGGTCTGCCAGAAGACTATGTGCCACATGCAGAAAGTTGTTTGAACGGAATTGGCAAAGATATGTGTTCAGAACTTGACGAGAAAAAATATTCATTTTACCAAAAGGAAGTTGTAGTTGAGAAAGAAAAGAATGTATGCAAGCGAAATGACGGTAATAATCTAATTTTTACTACCTGGGCCACATTCACACTGTCCTTGTGAAACATGTTCTATGGACACAAGTTTGATTGTTTACATTTTTGAAAATAAAAACGAATTGATTGTTTGACACGCATTCAATTCTTTTTGCATGCATGAGTCAATTATCAGATGCAAGTATTTTCAAAAGTAACGCATTGATACTTTATAATTAATATTCAAAAATAATTCAATTGCACATGTTTAAGCCTCGTTGTGAACGCAGCCTTAGTTACGTTAACCTGATTAGTCGCTGCCTAAACTATTACAATTTTAGAAGATTACACGCAATCTCTACTATGCGAAAGGATATTGGGGTATTTATTAGTTGTTTGACGTCAGAATATCAATATGTTCACAAACAGGAAAACCGACAGTTACAATAAAAGTTAATGTCTCATCAGATCAGGTGAAATTCAAAAAGTAATACTATATGTTAAAACGATGTCAATTGTTTTATATATATTTCAATATGCAACAGAGAAGAATTGTGAGTTTCAAACTTTTTATCAACTTAATAATGATCAAAAACCAAATTACGGAGATATGGGGAGGGGAGTATTTGATTATTATTGTATGTTGAGCTTATAATTTTGTAAATAACTGACAGGAATATATAAAATTCGAAAGATTATTCAATTTATAAATTTCTTTTATTATTTCAGGAGTTTTAATAAGATTGTTGACAGCATTTGCCATTCAGGTTAATACAAAGAAAATCGTTTCAGTAAACGCAGGAGACAACGCGATAAACTGTGTTCATGGAATTCGTTTCCTTAGTATAACATGGATTCTGCTGGGGCATTCATTGAATTATGGACTGGTTTCATTACCTGGAATATGGACCATAGGTAAAAAGTATTCTTAAACAGATTTATACCAATAAAACTTGAACGAACCATTTGACATTTTTGAGAACTTTCACCTTTTTTTAACGATATTTTGTGATTGAAAAACATAGACGATGCACAATTTTAACATATTGATCATAATTCAGATTTCAGATAAGTAGCAAAAGCTCAAAATTACCACTGTGCAGGGTTTGACATTATTTAAAAAAAAATATAGAATTAATTGTTTGAAAAAAGACAACCTGTTATCCAGATTTTCGCCAATTACTAATTTTTAATGAATTAAAAATTACACGTTTATGGTTATTCATATTTCTCCCTTCAACCTTTAGTGAATATTATTTATCACTCTGGGGGTATTTACAATCTATAAATAAACGACCTCGTAACTCGACCAAGGTAAAATAAAACATTATTATTTTTGATAATAGTGTTCTTTTTTATATTTATAACAATGTTTCTCTTTACTTTTGTAGCTAATCCTTCGCAAATAAAGGAGATGATGGAAAGTTTTACATATCAAGTCGTCTTATCAATACCTGTGGCTGTAGATTCCTTTTTTATGATCAGGTGAGTTTAGTTTAAATCGATATCTTCATTGCTATCACCTGAAATTTTAACAAAAAAATAGTTTCTGTAAAATTTATAAGTAACATTGCAAAATAGTGCATCAGTTTTCTCATTTTGTTCCTCTTAATGATATTTTTAAAGTTAAAAAGTAAGAAAAATACCAGGGAGTTAGTGTGGTCAATAGAAGAGTTTCAAATTTCAATCTTATGAGAGAACTGACGCAGTCGATCATTGGTCATTCGGGGGAATCGCGTAACAGTACATATAACGTAAAGATATTTGCTTTGTGTGACGTCAAATTTTCCCTGGAAAAGCACTAATTGAAAGATAGTATTTAATCAGTGGTCGAATAAAAGACAAAACAAACGGAAAACAAATATGACAGACATAAAGCAACGAGAACAACAGAATTACAGGTTCCTGACATGGGACAGGCACCCAAAGTATGTGTCGGGGCCAAACATGCCTGTGAACGTTCGAACTTCCCCTAATATTGGACAGTGATGTAAAAACTGTAAAAATCAGTAGCAATTGGCTTAACTCAAACTATAAAAATCAGTACGAGGCACAAAAACAACTGACATAAAATCATTATCAAGAAAGCACCGAAATAATAGTATTCGCAGTTATTTAAAGCTAGTTTAAAGCCAATTGCAACCAATTTTAAATAAATCATGTTCTCCCAGACTAAAGTATCATTCAGTACACGTCCAACGGATTTAATGTAAAGACGCCATAAACGGTCTGAGAAACGCATTACCTTGTGCAATGTCAAAATATTAGTAAACAGTATCGATGTCATTTGTTTTTTGCAGTGGTATGTTGGTTGTTTACAGTCAAATGAATAGTACATCAAAATTAATGGATAACTTCAGTTGTTCGAAGACAGCCGCTTTTGCTGGTAAATACCTATTCCACAGGTTTTGGAGGTATATTTCTTTTATCTTTTCACAGTGAAATAATTCTTCTATTGTAAAATGAAAGTATTCAACATTTTTACTAAGTAATGTTAAATTATTTCAACAAAATTAACATTAAAGAGGGTCAAGGCAATACGTACAAAATCATTACTTTAGAATATGAATAAAAGGACATGTGGGACATACGTCAATTGGACAACAGCCCAACGACACGAAAATGAAAAGAAATTAGATGTCGGCATACAATTATCAATACATTTCACTATATTCTAAACTGTACAGCTCTAACAGAAAGTAGAAGAGTTTTTCTTAAACCATATTATGTAAGCCGAGTAAATGTTTTGGAATTCGGCAGTTTATTTGTTTCAAAAAATATTCAGGTACCGAAAAATTTGTGTAAATTAATCAGAATTATCAATACAGAAGTATATTCTCCAGGTGGATCATCAATCTCGCATCTTTTTATGCTCGTTTTGTAAAAACTTGTCATGCGCAGAACAGTGGCGGATCCAGAGGGGGGCGTAGAGGGCGTACGCCCCCCCTTTGCTTGCACTTTTTTTTTTTTTTTTTTTGTAAAATTATTAATCAGACTAGACTTCGCGAACTTTGCCATTTCCCGTGTATTCAATTTTTATGCGACAATTCTTTACTTATAAAGATAGTTTTCGCTCGTATTTACTGTAATATATTATTGATTATGTCAAAGTCATGTGATTCGCTACGGTGGAGTTGACCAGTACGTCGAAAAAACGTCACTCAGTCATTTTGAAATTCAAATTACAGTAACACATTGCTTAGGCCGAGGATGACAAGCATGACGCCTTCAAAGCGACAAAGTATTGAGCAAGAACGTATTGACTTCTATTTCACAATTCCAACCATCAGAAAGTAATACTCTATTACACTCTCATGAAAAAAAAGTTCCACAGCAATATTATTTACCTACGAAAACATGTTTAACCCCACTCGCGCCAGCCCATTAATAACATTGCTGAATAGTGATCCCCAGTCAGTAAGCTCTAAATATAGATTTAAAGTCTAAGGTACGGACCATTTGATTTGAGGGGGCAGTCTGAGATATTTCAGAGAAAAAAATCTGACCCTGATTTTTGCTTTAAACAATAATTCTGGCCGTATCTGGATTGAAAACAATAATCTTGTCCACTTTTTTGCTATTAGAAAAAAATATTTTCAACAATATTATTAAGCATTAAATGAACATGATGAATAAAAAACGGGCGTAATTTTTTTTTTTTTGGGGGGGGGGGGGGGTTGCATGTGAATCCCATATCTGACCGGAATGTCTGTTTCGCCGAACTGATATACTGAATACTTTTTTCAAGGCCCGACTGCAACCTGCTGCTGGGTGTGGCCTATATGTCTTCATGTGTCGACAGTCATTCACAACTTCATTGTCATTTCCGACTCATTAGTAGCCTTTGGTTGATTTGGAACCCCCTCACTTCCCTTGTTGGTTTAAACATTTCAACCAAACATTTGGATAAAAATTGCTTGTTTGTCTTTCTTCGTGTCGGTCGTATTGTAAATTTCATTGAATAGCCGTATATCTTGTTTACAACAAGAAATCTGTGAGGTTATGCTAACTAACCATGCATACAACAAACGAAATTTTCTATGTCCATTTTTTACTGACAAATCCCACATCAAATAAATCAATTAGTACATAGCTTTGGATCCATCCAATCATTTTATAATAGACAATTAATGGAGAGAATACGGCACCAAAAATGTCCAACCCCTACACTTTAACTATAAAATGCATTTTACACTTATTTTATGTTTTTTAGTCAAAAAAAGGCCCAAAAAATTTTTCGCCTCGCTCCGCTCGGCAAACTTCATTACTACGCCCCCCCTTTCCAAAATCCTGGATCCGCCCCTGCAGAATCTATATGTTGTTATATGTTAAAAATATCTTTCTTTGTACCATTAACTTGGTTTTATAAGAAATAAAGACTCTGAATCAATAAGCGACGGGTGTCTATGCAATATGGCAAGCTCTAAAACACCCTAATATGTCGAGAATAAATCAAATAGAAGCACTCAATTTTCTGCAATCAATTCAAATTATCAGAATAACAAAAAAATAAACATTAAGATAAGACATAAGACGGAGTTCCTGACTTAAACACGTATATAATTTTGTGTCAGGGTTAATCTAGGTTTTAATTAATCTCACCCCCCTCCCCCCCCCCCTTTCAAAATGTTTTGCATCGATCGACAACAAGCCACAATTATATAACAATACGTTTAAATGAATGTAGCATTAATCATATGACTGTGGGAGATTCGCAATTTTGTTTTATGCATAAATGTTGTTCTATTCCATACAATAAAGACTGATTCATACTTCTGAAATCTTTTAACACATCACATATGGTTATTATGTAATATATGATTCTTCATAGTGCATACAAATGTTTTTCTTTAAAAAATAAATGAGTATTTATATTGCAATGATCACTTCTAAAACAAAAACACAAAAAGCACACTATGGCATATCAATAATATATATATATATATATATATATATATATTGCTTTGATTGGGTTCAAAGTCAATTAATCCTCTTTTTAGGTTAACACCACTATATATGATTGCACTGATGGTATTAACCTGTTTGTTGAAGTATTTTGGTGATGGTCCATTTTGGCCTTCAGTTATACCATTAGCAGATAATTGTAGAACAAACTGGTGGACGAATCTGCTGTACATCAACAATTTCCTACCTGCCTCTAAACAGGTAATTAACATAGATATAATAGTATCTCATTTATTGCTTTTATTGATTACATCCTCTACCTTTGGTATCATGTGAATTGTTGTCTGTTCATATTGTTATCTATTCAAAGTGAGTTCCCTTGTGAAGTTAACACAATATAATTAGATAATTCTTGATTAATTTATAGTAAAAATATCATTGAGGTAACATCAAGTGTTATTCAATGTATCAATCAAAATAAAATTAGACGAAAATCTGCTGAGCTTGGAACAAGTCTGTTATCAAAGGGGCGCATCTGGTACCCATAGGAATAGACGGTTTAACTATCATGCTCATGACTTTTCTAATAAACTTTAGGTGACATCTAATATCTTTTAAACTTTTTCTTCGTTAAATGGAATATATTCCAGCTGTAAAGACAAACTAAGACACGTTTTCTATAACATTTAAGGTACATGTAATTGCTGCCACTTTCCATATTAGATCATACTATGTATTAATCTGTGGATAGAATTGCCATGTTACAATAATGCTGTTGTATTTATATTGCAGTGTATGTCATGGTCTTGGTTTTTGTCAGATGATATGCAATTTTATGTTATTACACTTTTCGTCCTGATATTTTTGGCAGTGTGAGTAAATATATATTTTTTTCTTCAATTCAACAGCCTACATTACAATAAAGGAAAATATATACAGGAATACAAATAGCATATAAAGGCGACATCAATAAGGCTTTATGCAAAAGCCATTTTACACAAAGAAAGAACACAAATATAACAAAGTCATAGACAATTACTCTCTATACTGAGGGTATACATTAACGAGACAAATCAAGCGACACAAAAACCCATTTAGAGGTCAACATACGGTCATAGAAAAGTGTCTGTAGAGTATGATAAGAACAATGCTTTGGCTTTGAATGTTTATTAGCAATCACTTGACAAAACTGGTAAACAAACGGTAAATACAGATTGAAATGGAATTCACAATCTAGGACTTTTCACGGTCTCAAAGGTTAGGTTAGGATCAACATCAATGAGACAACAACCTACCAACACAAACGACATTTTATTATCAACACGGTATCAAATATAAGTTGTAAATGAATACTGCAGATACTGTCCGAAGTCAGATATATCAACATCAAATTCCATAGGCACGATCATTCATCTTCGGTTGGGCCATGGGTTTTTCTCGAGCCAAACCTTTTTTATACCTTAATAAAAAATAAACTTGTTTTTTTTTCAGTATCACACAGGAACAAGAAATTTGTTTGAAACCTAATGTTGAATTTAATTATTTTTCCCTGATTTTTAATCGAAAAAAAACTATTTATTCGCTTCCCTGCTGAAAGTTTTTTTTCGAGAAATTTAGAATCAAACAATTATTTAAAAAAACCCATGCCAACCTCACACAAAAATATGAATAGTAAGTGCCAAAAACAAATCTGAAAAAAAAAATAGAATTGATAAAACGTGACGACTGTTAGGACATCTGACTTTTTTAAATTTGTATTTTCAAGTATAAAGCGAAGATGGTTACATGCGCTGGTATCTTGTTTGTAAAAGGAATGAAGAGAAAACTTTTTTAGATAATCATAACCCCTTTTGAATAAAATGGAAAAATTAACTAATGACACACAGTATACCTTTTTATATATATTACTTGCGTATAAAATCGTATTAGAAAAGAAAAGTTGATTTAATACTTTTTTCGTTTTTGTTCTCTTTCTTTTAGATCAATTAAAATCGGTCTCGTTCTGATATCTTTGATGATGCTTGGAGGGATTTCTGCAGCAGCTTATTCTGAGCATACGTATAAAGGAGATCTTTTACAGTAAGAATACCTTCATAGATCACCATTTCAAAAATATAATATACATTTAAGATAAAATCCTATTTTATACGCGAAGTTATTCGTATTGAGATGTCGCTGATTAATGAATGAGAATTTCTTGGCTTCGTTTTAGCTCACCTGGCCCAAAGGGCAGAATGAACTTTTCTCATCACTTGGGGTCCGTCGTTTATCTTTTAATCTGAAACTGCTGGGTCAAATTTAACCAAAATTGGCCACAATCATCAATGGGGTATATTGTTCAGAAAATGTGTCTGATGACCTCGCCTGCCAACCAACATTGTCGACATAGCTTAAAGAAAAACATAGGGGTAAAATGCAAGTTTTGTCAATTATCTTATGTTGAGATCTACCTGCTGTCTATTTACATCAAAACTGTCGGACGACTTCTTACAGGAATTATTGCCCTTAAATGTCAAATTTTACCAATATTTATCATGTTTGCCTATTATTTTGAAAACTATAATAGATAGAGGGAAACTTTAATTAGGAAAAATGATCAGAAAGAGAAGATCTACAAATAAGTCAGATAGCCAAAATCGTCAGCCGACTCCTAATAGGAGTTATTGCCCTTTAATGACGGATTTTACCATTTTTTTGCTTTTTTGTTTACTATCTTGAAGGAAGTTTATAGTAAGTCTTACTATACAAATCCTTGCTATCTAACAAATCTTTTCCTCTGAAACTTCTGGGCCAAATTTAATCAAACTTGGCCACAAACATTATCATAGTATCTAGTTTAAAAACTGAGTACAATGACACAGCCTGCAAACAAACATGGCCGACATGGCTAAAATTGAAAGTAATAAAATGAAAGTTTTTCTATTATCTTGAAACCCGCTTTGAATAGAAAAAGTCTGACAGAGGCAGAAACGTCAGAATGTTGATAAAAACTTTAAAAAGCAACAATGATCAGCAAGAGAAGATCTACAAATACGTCAACATGATTGAAATTGTTATTTAACTCTCTATAGAGTTAATGCCCTTTCATGATGATTTTTACCAAAAAGTAGCCATTGTTGAAGATGCAGGTGAGCGACACAAGACTCTTTAGAGCCTCAAGTTTATTTTGATTTCTTTGATTAGGAAATGGTTTTACCGCTGGGACTCTTAAGTTCTTACATTAATTTAAAAGAAATGAAATTAGGGTGAACAGGAATGAGAAGCAACCCAAACGACTCAACTTTATTTAAATATGATTTGAAAAATGCAGGTGGGTGTTTACAGAATTTAAAAGACATGAATTTTTATCATAAGAAGAGCTCTGGATGCTTTTCACCTCATATTTTTAATGTGTTAATTAACGCACCTTTACTTAAAAAAGACTAGCACTGCAACTTTGTTAGCTTAGATTTGGAACTTCCACATTGCTGTTTTTGTAATATCTCAATAAAATGTTTTCACGATATTTGGTATATGTATGTGACATCTAATTTTAGTGGTAAAGGAGATCATGATGTGTATTGGACCAATGTTTACACGCCACCATGGTGTCGGATATCTGCGTATTGTGTTGGGATGATTCTCGGAATCATAATGAAAAAACGACCAAGGAAACAATTGCACTGGGTATGTAAAATATTTTATCTAATATAAAAAAAAATTGTTGCCAGTTGAATGAGTATCATATTTGTGATTCAATCTCGAACATGTTACATAAATATGATTCAAACAGTCGACACTATATGTCATGTTACTGAAAATTAATACTATAAATGTAGGCAGTAGTAGTTCACCGATGTTACAGTAATGGCCCAAAAACTTTCGATATCGTTAAAGACGGCCACAGATATCTTCCAATGATAGTAGCCAAAATCACGTCCTCTTTTTCTCAATTTGTGGCTTCACCGAATGCGAATTGAAGCCGATTTTTACTTACCACGAGAAACACAGCGGGTGCCTTCCAGAACACCTTAGATCCCTCCCATTTTGGTAAGGTTCGTCTTGTAATGTATACGTAGTATTGTGTGGATGACGGTGTTGTTTGTTTTTATGTCGTTTTTCTTTTGACATGGTATTACCTGCTTTTTTTAATTGTTTTGCATTGTCCATTATTTCTTCTGACTCTTTTTTTTAGCAATAAAAACATCAGGCGAAATGAAGATGTTCCTTATTTTTATGTATTGCTATGTTTTAGATTTCGTTTAACAGTGATCGTTTAACACAAATTGTGTTAGCCCTTTGATTAACCAATCAGATTGCAAGATTCTTGATTCATAAGAGATAATCCTTTAAATAAACCTTTTATAAAAGGTTACAAATTTTACACCGTTTTAGATCATAAAATAATGTTTTTTTTCCGCTATAAATATTGCTTTTGTTATCAACGAATTAAACCCCAACTAAACATAATGCTATACACCTATGAACATTCACGGTCCAACATTCTGTCGATACCTTTATATTTGCAATGCACAAGACCATGTTGTTTCTGACTGTTAAGGACGTCTTTACACTAAATCCATTAGTTGTTGGGTGTGTTCTGAATGGCATTTAAGTCTTGGATATATGATTTTTATTAGTTGTCATTGGCGTATGACTAGTTTTCAGTAACTGTAATCTCATATCTGTTCTTTGTGTCTTTAGTGTTTTCGTTAGTTGTTTTTTTTTTTGTGTGCTTTGTACCGATCTGATAAGTTAAGCCCTTTTCTACTAATTTTTATAGTTTGTTCTTATTTTGATCTGTTACACCACTGTCCCAGGTTAGGGGAGAGTTGGGCTCCCGCAATCTGTTTGGCCCTTTGAAAAACTGCTCATGCGCCAAAGATACAATGATTACTAAATGTTTTTAAGTTCGGTTCCTTTACAAATACACAATCTCTTTTGCACAAAAATAAGTAATTACATATAAAACATGTGTCCTTTTAAACAGCCCACCCGAAGAATATTATTGAGGGGCCTGATGGGTTATTTTCGTTCTTCGTGATCGGCGCATTTTCGCTATCGTGATCCGTTTTTCTACATATTTATTTTGTTTTTATATTTTCGTGATCCGTGATCATGGAAATTTATTTTCTGTGAATCATGATTGACAAAAAAATCAACTCGTGAATCGTGATGAGACCCCCCCCCCCCCCCCCCCCCCCCCCCATCAGGCCCCTCATTATTCTGTGTTAAAATGCACCGGTTTGATATGTATGTTATTGTTATTAACATTAAAAATCCATCTAACCAATAAACGAATTGTCAATACAATAGTCATACAAGAACTAGAACACGTACATTGACGACAGTAATTCCGTTAATTACAACAATTACATAATGTATGTCTTAAAAAAATATGTCATAGTTTGATCTGTAACATAAAATATGCAGATACAAAATTTCAATCCTGGTATCTATGATGAGTTTATTTATGACAGACATGTTCGATTCTAGGAAATTTGTGCAAAATTACTTGAACTTCGTTAATTTTGTAATAATTTGAAACTTTCTACACTTTATAGATATATTCTTTGTCCTGGCAGAAGATCATATTCTTCAAAAGTTATTTCAAGAAGGTTTCATCTATTTATTTATATGCAATGCTAGCTCTATTTTTCAGATACAGACGGTCATTGGGTGGACATTGGCAATTGCTGGTGGATTATTTGTGGTTTATATACCTTATTCAGAACATAGGAAAGGGGGTACACAATGGTCATTAGACATGAGAACTGCATACGAGTCTTTAGGGAGACCGTTGTGGGCATCATGCGTTGCTTGGGTTCTGTTTGCCTGTCACAACGGTAATGGCGGTAAGTAATTTTTAATAACTATATATATACAACCTTGATATATACTTTAAATTATTTTGAACATAATACAAAAATTACAAGATACCCAAATTCATTTGCGTTATATGAGCATTTTGAAGTTTTTTTTTCTCATCAGTGGTGATCAAAACTTATTCTGGAATTCCGAAAGTATTCAACTTTGAAAAGCTATAAATTAAAAATAGCATAAAAAAGACATCAAAACAGAATTTGTGAATCATAGAATAGTTCGAACGAAATATTCAAAATGGTATATTATTTTTACTATGAATTGAAGAAGAATAAAGTTATTTAGTAATTTCACATGAGATTGTTCAAAGCAATTGAAATACTTATGCGACTCCTGTAAAACTGTGTTTGCAATCGTCTTTTCTTTCTCTTGCTTGAAATACGTATGCTTCGAAACATAAACAAACCCGATTTAACTTGTATTTTAACAAAGTTTTATTTCAATAGTATTGTTACATTCTAAACATGTGAATGTAATTTGGATGGGTGTTTGTTTCAGGTGTAGTCAACAAGATTTTGTCCTGGCGTGGACTAGTTCCTCTCTCCAGACTGTCGTATGCTGTGTATCTGATACATCCAATCGTCATGATGACATATTTCTTCTCCAGGAGGACACTTTTCTATATAAATGATTTCAAAGTGGTAAGTTTAAAGCTTCGTGTATTTGAAATAGTAGGATAAGATATCTTTCCGAGGAAGATACAATGAACAACTATCCACACTCGGTAAAAACTTCCCAATCGGGATGATTACATAATTGGTAAATTTACAGATCAGAACATCGATAACATGTCGCAAGCGAGGATCTTTTCGAATTTTTATTTCCCATGAAGGATAAAAGAATTTAGTGATGAGGAACAAATAGAAGATTTTTTTTTAATTTTTAGAATTTCACCAACCGTAACATTATTCAAGCTAATTCTGCTAAAATGCCACATAAAACACTCCACATTTTACTATCAATATAACTATCATTTGTGTATAAATGTTGAATGTCTTAAAATGGGTATTAAACGAGTGTTCAAAACACTTACAAGCGACGATTATAAATGGCGTTATTCTTGAAACAGACATGTAGACAAAATAAAAGAATTCTTTATTTTCCTTGATAGAGACCTTTCAAGACAGAATCATGACAAAAAAATGAGTATTTTCTCATTCTAAACACAAATAACACACAAAAAAGGTAATGTAGGCGTAATCCTTATATATGCAGTTTAGGAGCAAAAACCCAAAGTTGCGTATAAAAGTTCAATCGGAAATCAATACATAAAACCTATTCATATGAAGTTAAGAAAAAAAAGAAAGAAAAAAACATCGCATGTAAATGTGTAGTAATATAAATTAGTGACTGGCATGACAGAGAAACACAGTCTGATCGTCCAATGGTTGTATCAGAATCAGAACAAATAGTCAAGCTGATGAATTATACAAGTATTTTATATCTGTATGCGTTTTACAATGTCATGTAAATGTTTTCCTTGACGTGGATTTCAAGATAAGAAGAATAAAATAGAAATAAGCGCAGGTTTTAAATAATTGATAAGACAACTGTAATAAATAATATGTTTCTTGATCTTTTTTTAGGTTTATCTGTACATCGGACATACTGTTGTTACTTTCATGGTGGCATTTGTGGCATCGATAGCATTTGAGGGTCCCTTCCTAGCATTAGAGAAAATTATGACGGGGCGATAACATCAGTCTGAAATATAGATAAATATACAGACTACAGTAAGACGACACATTGCATATACAAAATTGGATGGATAGCTACATTTATATATTATTGAAATATATACCATTATTGTCACCTGCTTACAAATTATTCTATTTTTTTTTTCTTGTTTTGATTTTGTTTTTCTCTAGTTTTATATGAATATTTACTTCGAAATAACATCATATTTTGGAATAATGAGATATATTCAGAAATTTTAATTGTGTATTTTGACAATAGAAAAGAATTCAGAAAACGCACGAGGTGAAAACAAGCAAAATGTGGCAAAAATTACTGATCTTCGAATATTTCTGTGATCAATTAGAAATATTTATATCAAGGTAACATCCAAGTATTTACATTTCATTTTTTTTCTTTAATGTCTCTTCTTGAAATGTCTGTATTGTAATGATGACTGTTATACATGGTGATAGGAGGTGTTGAGGTCATTGTTTGCAAGGAACAGTGCTTTTGATACTTTTCCGACATGTTACTCAACAACTAAAGAAAGAGCTCACTCGTTTCAGTCAAGTTAAGACGATCTTTCGGCACTATTTGATGTTATTCGACAACCGCTACTTAGTCTGGAACGTCTTCAACACTCATCAGTTATAAATAAATTACACCTTAAAGGGGTGAAATCCTCTCTACAAATTCTATCATACATTATCAGAAAAAGCAGAGCAAGTATTACCGACAGTAAACAAAACTTTTTATATTCCTTAAGTTGGACATGCCAATAAAGAACCTTAGCATTTGAAACACACTAAAATAGTCCATGCTTTAACTGAATATTTCAGATAAAAATATTAATTCACTTTAGTTTGAGAAAGGAAATAAAACCATTGATGCCAAATGTACTTTTATTTATATAATGTTATCTAATTTTTTAAAGTATATGTCCAAGAGCTTTTTTTCAAACTAGATGTTGTGCAAATTTCACGTTTTTAATAATGTACATTGTTAAAGCACGATTTGGACACAAGGAAAGACAACACAAGGACACAGTTTAAATAAAATACAAGAAAATAGCTCTTATTAACGTCTTTCCTCTCGTTCAAAACAAATAAAGAAGATAATCAGGTCAACATACCCTTTAATTTATTTAATTCCTTTTCTGCATTAAGGAAAAGATCCACATACATTTAAATAATACCTAACTGGAGAAAAATACACAGACTGTAATAGTTACAATACCAACAGTGTTGTGACTATTTAAACAAGTTCAGACATACACTCAAAAAAATAATTATAGCAAATGAAACTGACACTTAATGTGTTCGGTTTTATATTCTACAATGAAAATCAAGTGACAAATATAGTGCTTTACAATTCACATTTTCAACCTGGTTTGATCAATAACATCACTATAAAAGTATCTCAACAAATCTGAAATACGGAAACTGTTCCATCCATTGGTAAATAGCCGTTCTCATAAGATCGCGACAAGTACAAATGTAGGGGATTTGGAACTTGAGCCATTTGCCTTCTTTTACGTATAAACATTTATAGATTATATTCATACATAAGATGTTTGTTATTATTAGCTAATATTAAAAATGAAATGAATATCTTATTCTTTTTTCGCATCTTGGACCACTCCTTTCATTCCGCTACACTTTATTTTAAAAAGGTTTGTCTGTTTTGTATAATCTAATACAAGCAGTATTCAAAATAAAGCATAATAATTTGCTTACCTGTAGTTGTTTGGGATGATTTGTCTATACAGTGAATAGTACACTATTTATCTAATAAGCAAACTTTTAATAATAATAGGAAGATCCTAAGTTATTTGTCGAAAAAGGACATACAACAAAATAGCTAAACTTAATCCATTTCAAGGGGTAAACTCATTGTCAATAAGGTAAACAAGTGCCTCTTTAAGAAAGAAAGAAAGAGAGGATACCAAAGGGGAGGGGTGTTAAAAAAAGTCAAAAAAAACATACAAAACCATGGTCAAAATAAAAACGACTAAAGGACAAACAGCAATAACAAAACTAAAGACAGAGCAACATAAACCCCACTAAAAACAGGGAAGGCTACGTTGTTTAACTAGAAGCATATTTCATGGTGTCAAATTAAAGTCAGTTATAGTTGTATAAACATATGCTAACAAGTCATAAAGAAGGAGCCACAAATTCCTGGTCATCTATGAAACGAAAATGCAATATATTCATTTATTTCAATATGGAATGACATTTTTTCTTGCTTTCAATTAAGATTTTTTCTTAGTCATGAATTAATATTTTTCATGCAGTTTGATATATTAGGGGAATAAGAGAGTACTATATACACCAAAGCGTTAATATATCTCGGCAGTAAACATTGTTTAATATTAACTCATTCAAAAAAGGGTTTTCAACAAATGATGATCAATAAGAAAACGACAAAAATATCAGTCAAAGAACTCTACAAAGAAAACTATATTTAGACTGGATTATTCAATGGACGTTGCTGCCGAAATGTATTTGTACAACCTATCAATAATTGCATTCCATTCTTCTTCTTGAGAAGCTCCTGTGTAAAGTTTGCTCCCATATAAAATTCCGGAGAAGTGGAATGCTTGTCAATGAGACCATTCAAATGAGGTGGATGCAAGTAATTATAGGCCACCGTATGGTCTTCAACAATGAGTAACTAAAAATGTCCAGTTAGTTCCCATAACAATCATTCCAGCTTTCTGTTCAAAACCAACCACTTCTGCAAATGGCGGACGATATAATGGGGGAATCAAAAACCACAAGTAAAACAAAAACAGATTTCACCATGGTCATATGTATTACAAATATGCTTTCAGGTATAGAACCATTAATTAGGGCCCGGTCAGAAAGAACATACAAGAAAGTAGTACATATTTTTAAACAAAATAGTTTCTACGCATAGCAGTAACTTTTCAATAAGTAAAATATTTGGGTATTGGATAATTTTGGTATCAAATGAAAACTTTAAGTACCTGGGATTACCGTAGAACCCTTGTTGGAAGATTCTTTTGAATAATGAAAAAAATATATGAAATTATAATAGGAAGGCACATTTGCCCTGTTGTTCAGATCGGAAGTACCTGTTTTTGTACTACCAAACTTCCGGGAACCAGTGCGCTCTAATATGCAATTAAACGTATGTTGAATTTTTCGGCACAAGTCAGGATAAGGTATAGTTTTGACATTAAATGACTGCTACTTTATTTGAACCCAAGACAAAGTAACCATTAATACTTGAAATTACAGAATTTAACATAGAAATTGATAGGGCTATGAATTAGTGATTTTATTCCTTCAATAAAAAAACCAATCGTCTTGATGATATCACTTTTAGAGAACATTTTGTTTGAGTGATTTATTGCAAAATATTAGCAGTTCCCTCCTTAAGGATGTACACCTCTGAGGAGCCAACAATTTCTAGAATTAAACTTTTTTTCTTAACCTGATTAACCTAAAAAAAATTGGTGAAGAAAAAATCATATGGTGGTGCACTTCTTTTTTTGCTACGGCCCTTTAAAAGTACCCAATTTTGATGATTTTCCCATTTTTCATCAGTTTTTGCCCATTTTTGGGCCATTATCGTGAAAAAAATCACAGTTCTCAATTAAACTTTTTTTCATACTTTCAATAAAGATGAAGTGGACCAATCTATATAAATAACTTTAAAAACTATAGGTAGGTGTTAATATAAGAAAGTTTTATCATATTTTGATGCTTTTTCGTGTCAAATTTACCATGCTGTCAATTTTGTAAATTTATGATTTTTCTCTATTTTAAGAACAAAATACTTATTATTTCAACTTCTTTGTTTTAAATGATTGAAAAAATACATAATATCTTAGAAGTTTGAAAAGAAAAAAGTGATATGGGATGTACATGTTTCTGGTAAAAACATTTCTTGTACCCCTCACCCATTTTCTCAAAAAATTGGCTAAAAAGACTGACTTGATTGGTAATAAAATTTGAAAAATTTATTACTCGGAAACTACTTATTGTAAATACACAATTTTTTCACAGAGTTCAGTTTGATTATGATATTCATTGCTATTTTCCACTTGTATCACATGTTTTGGAAATAATTCCAGAACGAGATTTCAACGAGACTGAAACGTCAGAAGAATACATCCTTAAACAAAATATTTATCTACATTGCCTAAATTATTTTCATGAAACAAAGTTGGACATATGATTTTGATTTGTTAAGTATGTGAAATATTTGTGTAAAAGGTTGTAGAATTAAACGTTTCAACTATGGTGAAAGATTAAAGCTGGATACAATTTTGTTAAATCCACTGGTTGCTTTAATAATGTTAAGATTACTTGGAAGGCCAAACAGTCATTGCTTCAAAGCTAAATCCTCCATTATTTGATTAATTGAGGCGACGCTGGTATACTGATGTTCAATTCTCGTTAATCGATTAGGAAGATACAAATCAAGGTAACACACACAAACTGTGAGAATCGCAAGAACTCCAAAAAGGAATGAGGCCGGTCGCATCGACAGTACAAGCATCTCCTGCTATGCACGCATCACCGGACAAATTCACTCAGTCAAAATGTCACAACCGGAAATAGGACACAATCGGTAAAATTACAGAGCAGACGACAAATCTGGTTACCGCGAAAACATGTCCATAGTGAGTTGAGTCACCGACATATCTTATCGGGCAATCAACTTATGAAGTGTCGATTTCAGTCGTTCTTCTTCATAACTGTGTTAGAGCAGTTGTGAAAGGACCACACCTCCTGTTATTGAAGTCAGTATAGTATGAACATGCACGAGCATAACGATTTAACTGCGATGTGTAAACGCCATACGATGAAGCAGTTGAAATGTTACTGCTGAGAAATGGAAAGTTGGCAGCTTAACCAATCCATGTTTATGTGGCAGCGGACGGAAGTCTTGTTTCCATGGTGACTTAGCTGTGTACTTTCCATTTTCGATTGTGATACACTTTTCTCCGTATTTCCGTAAAACTTCCGACTGACTCCTTATGTGCTCGCTTCCTGCAACTCCCAAGAATTTTAAGCTCCAAAACTTTTCCAAGTTGCAAGCAATGGCTCTGTGATCAGTTTTAAAAAATATTCATAATGACAGATTGGTTTGTACTGTTACTTCCGTTCTTAGCCAGTACGGGTCCCGACAAGAGATAGCCAATTCTTGATTTTACTGCGGTCGGTCCATCTCCTCTAATTGTTTCGTCTTCATCTATTGACCAGTAATAATCTTCGCCAATCAACAAGGATATTTTGATTTGTTCTCTGCGGATATCGGATGTGCGAGTCGTAATCCATGTAATTATAGCAGTGCTTTGGTTTCGTTTCGTGATGTCATATGAATAGGATTGGCAATTTTCGGTACAATGATTACTTCAATTTTTATTTTGTTATCATCAACTGTTTCAATAGCTAGTTTTGCTTTCTTAAGATGACGAACCTGCCCTTCGTTTACTCCTAATCCAGATCTTTTAACTAAAATCTTTTCGGTGGACTCAATTTCCAATTTGCGCGCTAAGTCTTCAGTAATAAATGAGTTCTGCGCCCTCGTCAAGTAAGATATTTGTCATGATGGATCGATTATCGGACTAAACTGGTGTTACGGCAGTTTTCAAGAGAACATCTGTATGTGCGGTAACAGTATAATGTAATAATGCGGTCGGCTCTATTGGTTTTTCCTCAACGGCAGTATGCGCTACGGTCTTTTGCATGTTTTGTACGCTATTTGCTGTTTGCTGTCAAGCTCTTCGATACCGTTTTATGTACAAATATACTTGTGCGATGTCTATTTCCGCACTATCGGCATTTAAATTCAGATTAACATTCAGCTTCTCTGTGGTTTCCATAACAGTTAAAACATATCCTTTTTCGCTTCACAATTTCTATGCGTTTCTCAACATCTTTTACGTTTTTACATATATTCGGATGATGCGGTTCTCCACAAAATAAGCATTTCTTACGTGTCGTCGACTGTTATCTGTTCATTACGTTAATTGTTCCGGCAATAAACGAAGCGGTGGTTAAAATGTCTGATTCTTCATGACTTGCACCTATTGATTGTCCTGCGATATGTACGCATAATTCCCTCTTATTGCTACTCTCAATGATTCGATGTCCTAGTCGTCGTTTCCGCGGTCTCGGGTTATGTTTTTTCGTACATCGGATGGCAACTTATTGCATATAATAGGAGTAAGAATGGTTCCAAATGTGCACTCGCTTGTTCCTAAAGATTCTTAACCTCGTATGCTACACTCAATTCTGTCGGAAAAGTTTCTCAAACTATCTGCGTTTGACTTCGGCGCAGGCAAATGAATCAAATTTTGAATATATGCGTTTGTGATTTTGTTGTTCTGACCAAACCTCTCTCTCAGTATTGCTACGGCTTGATAGTAATTTGCACTTGTAAGTGGTAATCCGGTGATATATTGCGCGGCTATGCGCTCAATTTGATTTTGCAAATACGTAAACTTTTGTACATCTGTTAATGTTTAGTTATCATGTATTGTTGATTGATATGCATCCCAGAAAGGTTGCCAATTTAACAAATTGCCATTAAAATATGGAACATTTAGTTTTAGTAGCTTGTGATAG